TGCAGCCCAGAAGAGTCAAGTCTTTCATAGTCTTGTGTGAGCCATGAATGTTCTTCTGGTAGCTCATTGGATTCTAAAATGGCAGGAGGAGATGTGGCTCTCAAGTTGAGAAGCACTCAGTGTTTTATCTTGCTGGTGGGGGATTTTTGTTTTTCAGGTTGCCTTTTCCCTTTTGAAGCTGGAGCAGAGCAATTGAAACTGCTTCAGCTGATCTTGCACCAGACTAGAGCTAGAGAAGCTATCTCACTTAGGCGGTGTGACTATAGTCATGACTTGGTGGCTTCAACCCCAGACCTTGTGCTATTGTGGTAGCACTGCCTGCTTTCAGTTGTGCCATCTGATGCTGCCGCACAGCACTGTGTACTAGGTGGCTGCATCAGATGGGATGCTCTGCTGTGTGGGCAGGTGCATTGGCTTAGGTCAGCATTGAATGCTATCAGCTTTGGCATTTCTATGCTTCCTTCTAGCCACAGTCCCAGCGTAGTCACGGTGAAGCTGCTAAATGCCTATTGGATGAACATGATGAGGACATCTGAATGAAAAGTCAGATCCGGTCTCCCATTAGAGATTCATGAGTGAAAGGACAGCAGTAATTCACCAGCTAGAGTTCAGGGCAGAGGTTTAGTTCACTTCTGGTTTTGTTCCAACTTGATTGCTCACCCGTAGTAAGCAGTCTATCTGAGAACAAGAGTGTATGCAAATTCCCTCAGCCATTATTCTGTATTAGAAAAAATAGGAAAAAAAGGCTGTGGTATGACTTTAGACTTAATCATCATTTATCCTACCCTGAAGGCATGGAAGTTAATGATGATATAGATCTGTGCGGTTTTGTGTTCCCCTTGACTGAGCATTAGAAATAATTAGGGCTTGTGGGATGGATGCACTGCTGGTGGAGATGAGCAAAACACATTTTTGAATCAATGTATGTGGCTCTTCCAAGTTCTCTGGCAAAGATACAGGTGCTAAGTGTGTACTTATTGGCTCTGAGGTTTCTTGCTTGTTGAGACACATCTAGCTGATGCTGAAAGGAAAGGAAGTGGGAATAAATGAGTTCTGTTCCTTTGGAAGTTTTTAAGGTGATGGGGTAAGCAGAGTTGCTAGCAATTTCTGGAGAGCCTTCTTCAGTGGGATGAGCCCCCCTGCATCCCAAGGGCTGCAGAGTCTGGGTCTGGGTTATGCCCAGGACTCCCAAGCTGTACAGGAGTTGACATTGACCCTCCTGAAGGATGTGAGCCTTCAGCACATCGTTGCAGATTTTCTTGAATTACCACCTCCTGTCAACAGAACATTTGGTAATTAGACAGCAGTGGCCAAATGTCTGCTGCTGGTTGTCACAGGTTTGATGGGGAGGAACTGTTTCCGCTGCTCTGGAGATCTGTAGTCTTTTTTCTTTTTTTAATCCTGTTGTGGGTCAAACCAGAGGGACTTTTGGCTATTTTTATTCAGGTGGAGAAAAGCTTCACATGATGAGTGGTGAAAGCATCTCATTAGGATGGCATCAGCTCTTCGGGGAAAAAACTGTTTTAGCAGAGGATTTACACTCCGTAGCTATGTACTTTACCTGCCATTTGCCCACTGTTTTTCTCCTAGCCTGGCCAATCTGCTTAAAAGCCGTTTCAGCAATCTGCAGTTTCTTAACAAAAGCCATTTCAGCAAAAGAACATTGCTGCCAGGGTTGGGAAGGAGGGGAGGCTGACACCGTCACCCTGTGCGGGATCCTCCCTGGGATGTGGCCGCGGGGCTCTGGCCCGCTCTGGGGCAGGATCAGGGTGCATTTGGGTGCTGGCAGTGGTACAAGTACGTAATGCGTTTCCTGGAAATGACTGGGTGGGTGCTGATGGGGAAAATGCAGAAGCCTTGTGTCTAGGTGGAGCGGTGTAATTTCTCTTTACGTAGGAATTTCTGGGATTCTGAAAGCAAAACATTTCCGTCTTTGCAGGCAATTTAGCGCAACTACTGGCTGAATACATTCCTCAGCAAATCGATACGGTGCAGTATTTTAGAAGATATACTGTGAAGGCAGTTCTGTGCAGAAGCCCATGGGGCATGCTGTGACCGAGAAGGCCCCCTCATGCAGGGAGCTTTTCAAGTCTCTATCCAGAGCAGCCTAGAGCTTAACGTCACTGGTGGCTTTTGTTCTCTTGGCATGAATTTCAGGTTACTGCACTGTGCCTGTCTAAAGGTGCATCTCATCCCTTCCTATTTATTTTGCTCCGTTTAGAATCCTATTGAAAAAAGAGAGGAAATGTCTTTTTTCTAACTGGAGATTTAGTATTCAGCTCTGCTGGCTGATTCACCGATAGAAAAATTCCCACTGACTTGAGTTAGAGTTGAATGGATTGTATTATCTTTTCATATGCAGAAAATTATTTTGAAATTGAAGTTAATAACAGCAATTTAAAAATTGTCATTGTTGGATAATACAATATTTATTTTTATCATGTTCTTTTTATGATCTGATGTTTGAATAAAAGCACTTTTCCTGCTTTTTGCTTAATTAGCATGTCATGAAGAACTTTGTGGCATCAAACATGCCATCTAATTACATTCATTAGTAGCATCTTTGGGACAAGTTTTAATTAAGTTGTATAGTGTAGATCAATACTTGTTTTGCATCTATTGCATCTTACGACAGGAATATACTCTTATGCACAGTTTAATTACAGTGATTGTAATAGGAGGAATTTGGGTAACCTGCCATTTTGTTGGCAGATTTCTCCTCCTTTTTGAAATGGTTTACAGCTATAATTTAGGACATGTTTGTTACGTGTCCTATTTTGAGGAATATTTTAAGGTCACCTTTGTGATCTCAGTGAGAAAATGCAGTAGGATTAGGAGCACTTGGGTACTGATCTTTGACTTCAGCTGAAGCAGGGATACAAGATAACCTGTAGACACATCAGGAGGGCAAAAGCTGATCATTACTGGATGGCATCTGTAAAGGTGGATGAAAGCAATACATTTATTTTCCTTAGGCTGTGGTGTGAAAAGCCACCTAATTTTGCTTCCTTATTATGAACGTATTTCAGTAAAATCCCTCAATTTTGTTTCTGATGAATGTCATAGCATTCTGAGTACCCAAGCACGGTTTCTGTTCTAGAAACAATACCCAGACGAGGCAGAAAATCTCTGTGTTCTGTGATAGCATGCTGGATTAATGATTGCATACACTGCAGATATCCACGTAGACAAATCTTTAAGCGTCTGGCACCAGGGCTGAGGACGAATTTCCCTACCTGTTGTATTTTGGCTGTTTTTGTGTACAATGAGCTGCAGTTGTCAGCTTTCAGTGTAATACAATGATTACGAGAAAAATTTGTCACAATACAATGATCAAGACAAAATTGATGCTGAAAATGTTGTTTTTCAAGCTAGATCTGTTGTGTAGCCTTCTTTTTTTTTTTTTTTTAAATATTCCTTAAAATTTCAAAGGAAGATGACTTCTATTTTAGTAAATGTATGTCTAGTTTTATTGTTTGTGCCTCTGTGTACGTAATATGGTTTGCTATTAAGTTCTTGTGCTTCTATACATTTAGGTCATTGACTCTTTAGGGAAAAATAGACACTCTGAAGTGGAATGCCAATTACAGGAACTTGATGAGTCTATTTCTTGTCACAGTGAGCAGGTACTCTCTAAATACCATATTTATGATGTCCGAGGTACTCAGTTGGCAATGTCCTAATTTTGTTGATGGTGCATTGCAGTAGGGTGGCCTGTGCTGATGTGGAGGCCTGCATGCTTTGGCTTTGCACTGGTATTTGTCTGTGCAGAGATGGAAAATGGACTCAGATAAGTACCAGAGTTGAGAATTGATATTCCCATTCTTTCTGCTTGTATGTATATGCTATTTCTTTTCTCTACCAATTTTTAAGTACCTAAATTGCTTGTTTCCAAAGGACTGAGCATGTATCCTCCTTCTCCAGCTTGTTCTTGGGATAGCTCATCTTCAGTTTGAAAGTCTTGAAGTTTGACTTCCTGTGGGATTTCTAAACAATGCATACATTGGAGACCATGAATTGAAGACTTGGAGAAATTGGTTCCTTATTAGGCTGAACGTGGGTGCAAAAATGAGGCTGTGCTATGCAGATAAATATACTGTGGAAAGCAAGAATTACTGTTTGAAGGATTTTTGTGCTTTGCAAAGTAGACTCCTCTTAGACTGAGTTTCTGTCTAACAGCTATTGATTCAGAGGCTAGTTCTTAATTTGGGAGACTGGAAGTCCCGAGTACAGGACGTGACACTGGAAAGCTCAGCACCAAAAGCTACTGTAATTTTTGTCAGCTAAATTAACTCTGTGTAGATATATTTTTTTAATTATTTCATGCTTTGTACTCAATATTTCAGGAAATATGAGGGGAAATATTATAAGCTTGAGGATAATTCTTATTGCTCTTTAATGTTAATTGTTTGTTAATTGCTTCTGACTTAACAAAACCGCTGTATTTTTGGGTGAAGGGGCTGGGGAAGACAATCCCTTGGATGTGTTACAGTGAAGTTGCCGAGTCTTGGAACAACATGCAAGGGAGAAAAAAGAATAGATTCCTGATAACTGTAATACTGTCATACTTAAATGTAAAGTACTTCAAAACTTGAATGCATGATAACCAGGGTACTCTGCATGTTGTTTCTTGTGTTGTGTTTGTCTAAAAGGCTTATTTATGCTAAAGACTGTACCACCATGGAAGAAATACATGTGTATCTGCTGTATGTTTTATATAGAGTTTATGTAGTTACTTCCCTCCCAGAAAGACCAGTCCCAAAGAACTTAATGCAAGAGTCTGGATCTTGCAGAAATTTAGAACATGTGCAACTTCCAGTTGCAGATCTCAAAGGGTATGATCTCATTGTTAGAGGAGTTACTGCATTGTTGTTTTGTCTTACAAAAACCCAGCTTCCTTGGTTAATTATAGACAGCCTATTTGCATAGCCACCCAAATCATGAAGTGTTTACTGAAATTTATAAGACATACACCTTACCAATTTTTTTCTTTCTTTCAGTGAATTTACTGGACTCACGCACAGTAATGGGGGATCTAGGATGGATAGCCTACCCAAAGAATGGGGTAAGTCTCTGTTGTTGTTTGCTTTTTCACTCACAAATTACACTAATTGTTTCCATTCGGAAAGTAGACTACTGGGTTTAAAAACTCCCTGGAGTGATTTGTCTGCAATGGAAGGAAAAATACATAAAACAACGTGCTGGGTCTAGAAAAATGGAGCTGTGTAGCTGGGGGATTGATTTATTTATGCAGTAGATCCAGCCACAGATATTTTAATAAAAAGAAAAAAAAGAAAAAAGTGAGTTTATCCCCTCACTTGTCTCCTCACCAACAAAACCATGAGATTATATAAATTTAAGCCATGAATTCTGGTTCTTTACTTGAGCATGTGGGATAAACGTACAACAGTTTTCTGCAAATTTTCTTTTGAAACATAGGGTTTGGAACATTACTGTTAGCTTTAAATGAAGAGGGCTGTACAGGCTCCAGATAAAATTTTGGCAGCTGATAACTCTGGAACAGGAGGTGAGTTTTAAGCATCTTGAAGGGTCTACGTTTCTTCCATTAACTGTTCTGAGGGCTAAAGGCTTCCTAATTTGATACCAGAAATAGTCATGGAGTCCAGGTACATTAATACTCAGCAATGTGTCCACCTGGCCTGACTGAATCATATGACCAAAATTCACAGGAATTGGTGTGTCTGGAGCAGCCTTGGTGCTGTACTGTAACAGAGAACTTTGATAGTCTTGCACGCTGTTGAGTATTCCTGTCAATTCCTGTCATACAGAAGCAATGTCTGATGTATCCTGAGATAGAAATGCTGCATAGCTGTGCTCTCCGATAAACCAGACTTCAAGAATGTGGTATTCCAGAGTTTTAGATACCAGGTGAAATGGGCTCCAGAATTGTCTTGCACTCCACTTCGACTGCCATAAAACATGGTGGCAATGTTTGTACAATGTAGCCAACCCTGTGCATAAATACTATAGACTGAATTACAGTCTGGCTTTCCGTATTTTGTGCAGATAAAAGGTAGCAGTAATGGCAGCCTCACTAAGACAAGGTGGGTGCTTGCAGGCCCTAGTTATGGCAGAAATGTAAAAGCACGTGGGGAGCTTAGTTCATCCTGGAACTAGTTCAACATCACGTTGTTGTCCAAGTCGATAGCAATATATTTTTCCTCTTGATTTAAAGATGAGAACTGAACTTGCTCCCCTTGCTTATGTGGGCATCAGAATAACTAGTTCCAGATGTGCAGGCAGAGTCTTACGTTGGTGCTATGTCAAACTACAAAGATTCTGTTGTCTACTTCTTAATGTCCACTTTTTTCCTTTTGCACGTCTGTCAGTATTCTCCCTAGGCTATAAAGCAGTGGCTGTATAATCTCCTGTCCTTGCAGGAATGTCAGCAGAGAAATATCTAGGCCTGAAGTGTTCAGAATACATCCAGATCTGTATGTGCAGATGAGTAAATGAAAAGCTAAATATTCAATGTATAAGACTCAGTTGCTTTTTCGTTATTTAGAGATTTTTTTTTATATTTAAAAGCTGAGGTTTTGACCAGCACCTGGAAGTGCACTCATGAATGCCAAGTTAATGGTTACTGACTCAATTGGGATATTTTTTTTCTTGATTTAACTAATGCAAATAATAAATGAATCAGACAGTCAGTTTTTGAATTTCCAGAAATCTCTTGTTAATCTTCTTTGTTTTCATGGGACCATAAAAATCCATGAGCTTAGCCCAGTTGTCTCCTTTGGCCTAATATATTTGCAATGTTTTATAAATACTGGGGAAAAATAAGGCTTTCCAGACCTAATTCTTTAACCACTTTATCTGCTCTCAGTCAGCTGTTCTGCAGTCATACTCTTATAGGCTTGATTTAGAAACATATAATGTGTATATATATATTTAAGGTCTACCATGTGTAAATATTTTAAGTCTTACTTCACTATTTGAATTTGCAAAGAGGTAGGTAGTTTAGAGATAATGTAGGCAAGTTTGTTTGTTTGTTTGAGATATTCTCATCCTAATTTTTTTCAGGACATCTAAAAATATTTGAAATATCTGCAAAGCTTCCAAGCAAGGAAAGGAGCAGAAATCTGAGAGTATGTAACTCTGTGTTGTACATACTTAAGTCTAGTAACTGTTTGGTTTCAGTGATGATGTAGTTCCAACTACATCTCCTTTTGAAGCAACTTTCAATTTTGTTCTGATAGTTCTTCACTTGATCTTTATTATGAATCTTAAGGAAATTAGGGTTTTTCTTAGAACCACATCTGCTAGAAGAAGAAGATCACTGACAGCAGAGTTCTTCATGCAAAGAAATTAAGCAACTTAGACTTTGTAGCTTTGTAGGAGTGCCTGGGAGAAGTCATAAGTGCATCACAAGGGCTTAAGAGGAGAAGTTTTGAAAACTTCTGCGTTTATTCTTGGAAAAAAAAAAAAAAAAAAGACAGCAAAAGATTACAGTGGGGAAAGAGGTTTAGTCATATGAAAAGAACATGCTTCTGGCACACCCTTTATGGTAAGTGTCATATTCTAGATTTGTTTCAGATGTATACCATGGTGGTTTTTGTGTATTGAAGCTGTAAGTCTTTCCTTCCATGCTCCAGAGAGATCAAGCTGGACTCATTTAGCCTGCTGCTCACCTCATTTTTTGCTGAACACAATGGAAAAATGCACTCTGCCTTGGGAAATGAAGGGAGCAATGGGGGCAGGAAGCTGATTGGCCAATTTGGAGACAAATTAGGCTTAGAACTACTTCTGTTTCATAGCTGTAATTCCAAATAAAGCACCTCAGCTGCTTTAGTCCCTGTATGATCAGGGACTGCAAAAAGCTGCAAAATACTGCTGCAAAATTGCATGCACCAGGTAATCTTCGGAATAACAGGCTTTAGGGGAGAGAAGCACTTCTGTCTCTGCAGAGCTTTGTCTAGCTAGGTGCTTATTTGGTACAGGTTTTGGCAGTGTCTGGAATTCTTTCATGCTTGCTGGATTTTATTTTGCCTGTGGTTATGGAAGGCAAGAAAAATCTCTATTTATATACATACACACACACAGGTGTATTTGTAGTGAAAATGCTAAGTCATGCCTTGAAACAGTGATTGGGCACCTGGTGGGAAGGCAGGGCCAACCCAGGGAGCTCAGGTGCATGCAATGTACCTGAGTGACAAGAAGGGGTGGTGCTAGAATCCACCCCTTCCCAGACCTCATTTAAGGGTTGGCAATGGAGGCAAGGCTATATTGTTGGAGGTCCCTGCGTACCTGATGCCTTTTGAAGGTAAGCACCTTCTTTTCTTTATTTCTGTACCCTCAGCTGTTGAATTTGAGCAACCATTGCATTACAATTTGTATATTTATGTATGTGAAGCGTTGAGAAACCAGCAAAAATGAAATGTGATGTGGCCAAATGTACTCAGTGTAAGGAACCAGATGTTGTACAGGAGGAGATGCTTTTTTCTGCTGCTTTGCCCTAAATTAATGAATCCTGATAGCATGGCTTTCTTGCTACCCCAGGAGGGCTTCCCTGGCAGTGTGGTGTTCGGCAACTTGCAGCAGTCATATGTGGTTCTTAAGCCTGTTGTTCTATTTGTTGAAGCATGAGCGAAGCCCTCATGGGGTCTGTATGGTGATGGAGCTCAGAAAGGGGGCCTTCTCACTGCCAGTGGTGCATGATCAGTGTGGAAATGCTATTCTTTTTGTAGCTCATGAGTAGAGAATGTATCATGTTAACTATAGGCCAGAGGGTCAATTTCCACTTTGTTCTGCAGTGTAAGTTTACCTTAATCAGAAGAATGTTGTTGGAATTACTAGAGGTGATATCAGAAATATCACAAGTGTTTGGCTCCCTCTTTATTAAAATATATGCTTCTGTAGCAAGCATCCAGAGCCTCTTTTACCTCCAGACTAACTTGGAGGATTACCAAAACTGGGCATGTCAAGGATTCGTGTGCATTATAGGGGGCTGTGATGCTGACCTACTCTGACCTCCACAAACTGTCTGTATTTGACCATGCTAAGTATACTTTTTTTGTCAAATGGAGACTCCCAGAAGAAGGAACAACAGGAAGTACTGTGAGAAACAGCTGGCTCAGATCAGACAGTGTTTGTAGGCTGTATTGCTGCCTTTCCTCGTTTGACTTAGCAGGAGGCTCTGCAGGATGCATTTTGGCTCCCAACAATGCTGTAGCTGGGGTAGAGGCTACAAAGAGCTCCAGGTAAATCTGTGCTGTTCAGCCTTGGTCTGACTGTGTAAAAACACAACCAGTTTTAACAGTAAGCATGTAATTGTAAAAGTTACTGATTAAAATCAGTGCTTTTTAGATGGCTTGATTTATTCACCAGTTATGTCTGATTTGTTTCAGTGGCTGTGATAGTGCTGATTTACTTCCTTCAGGTCATCCCTCCCTTCAGGATTTATTTTTAGAAGTTATTTTTTTCTTGCCAAGTTGGAGCACACCTGCTTTACTTATGCGCCTTCCACCTCCCATTGATTTCCTTGAACTTCCTGTAGCTCGGAACAGGAAGGCGCTGTGGTCCTTGGAGTATTGGCTATGTGTTGTGGATCATTGCACAGCTCTACGTTCTGGGTTTTTTTAGGCTCAGAGAGGAAAATAAACATGCACTAAGGAATCTTATCCTGTGGAGATGTTAGAGGATGCTGGGATCACTCAATTCTTTATTCACTGCAGAAAATGAGAGCGATAGCTGAGTTACTGCAAGAGGAAAAGCAGTTGCCCTGCTTTTGGTGGTCAGTAAGGACAAATACTGAAAGCAGGGGGAGTAAATTCAGCCACACTGATTCTGTGAGTTGCTTGTCGCTTATGTAGGATTTCAGTAGGCTTTATTTTATTATTATATTTATTTTGGAGGGGTGGTGAGCAGCATTTCTGGCTCGTTCTTTTGAGGACAGGTACCCTAGGGTGCCTCTTTGAAGTTAAAAATAACAGCGGTTTAGATTAGTCAGCATGGTTTGTGAATACATTCATGTTTTTCTCTGTCGATCTCAGTTCAGATAGAGATTTTATACGGGAATCCTAGATTGGAAGCAGCGTTTGCCCT